GATCAGTGTTCCTGGCATAGAGCAAGTGGATGATGGATCGTCGGTTGCTTCAGTGGCATGCCCTGTCACACCCGCCAGCAAGGCAGACAAGAGGCCACGGGCGAGAAGCCAGCAGGCAAGCAAGGCGGCAATGGGAAAGGGAAAGCAAAGCCGAAGTCATCTGCTGCATCCAAGCACAACAAGGAGCAGGAGAAGAAGGCCAAGGAGCTGCTTTGCATGCTTGAGCGCAGCCAGCAGATCGTGGACCGTGTGGTAGGGGAAGCAGACCGCTTCCCATCGGAGTGGACATGGTGCAAGCCCTTGCTGCAGGAGTTCCGATGCAAACAGGAGGAGTTCCAGAAAACCCTCAATCCGGCCGGAGCCGAGGACCTTACCGAGTTCATCAACGAATTCCGCCTCTCCATCATTACCCCCGCAGCCCTCAAGGACTTGAAGAAGAACCACAAGGACAACTACTTTCAGCTCCTGTCGGTTTTCATTGACCGGTGCAACAGCATCTGCGAGCAGAGCCACAGCCGCACCCCAAAAAAGATTGTAGGTTTGTGAGAATTAGTTTTGGGTTTCGGGCTTCAGGGCATTCAAGGCTTTAAAATTGAAGGGTTTAGAGACTTTGGGCCTAGGGTTGAGGGATGTTTAGGGTCTAGGATTTTAACTCCCCTCCCTGAAGCAGATCCCGAATATTTCCAGCCCCCACACATCCCAGGATGAACCACACCGCCAGCAAGATCGACAATATGGCCAAGGCTATGATGACGGCTTCAGCAGGCTCTGTGGCCGGAACCCCGAAACCCAAGAAGAAGACTAGGAAGGCCACCGGCCTCGTGAAGCAGTAGTGCTCGGAGGCTCGCTTTCAGACCTCAGTTTTTGCAGTGGTTTTGCCATCTGAAAGCAGATGGCCGGGTGTATCCGTGGTGTGTGAACACGCTACCTAGCTGGCTAGCTGCACAGCTGCAGCTAGCTGATGTTCCCAGTTTGTTATGTGGGGTGAAGGATCTCAAAGCCGGGCAGGGGAACCATGGCTGTTTCAAAGTCGTGATCGCGAGACTCGGTAGCAAAAGCATCGATACTCTGGTGCAGTGTGCATGCATGGCCTACCACACCGCACTCGCCACACGCTTGGAGCACATGTTCGTGTTACTGCACAATATCGTGGCTCTAGGCTGTAGTGTATGTCCGTGTGCATGCCATGGTTTCGAAGCATGAGAAAGCGAGCCAAAGTTCAAACCCGCGAGGATTCACCCGAACAGCCGCTGGTGCCTCAACATACACGTGCTGGTGAAAACCTGAGAGCATGCCTGCTAGACCGCTTCACGATGGGGGCCATCACTGGTTCTGATGTCGCTGAGCTTTCTTACCACATCACCCAGGCCGGAGGCATGGGAGTTTCGGACCTAGCCCTTCGTCCGGAAGTCGCGAAGTCGCACGGTCATGCACATGTTCGTCGTACTGCTGGAAAGTTCTTCCCGGAGCCCGATGTGACCTATATCGACACCCCACTGTTCCTG